CCTCAGAATTAAAAACCAGGATGAGCTGCATATGTACTGAAAATAACGTCTCAGCTCCATTGTTAACTTTCAGCAGTATTTTGAAAGTAAAACATGTGACTGACGAGTTCTAAATAATTTGATAGGTTTCAGAGTAGGAGCCGTGTTAGTCTGTATCCGCAAAAAGAAGAACAGGAGTACTTGTGGCACCTTAGAGACTAACAAATTTATTAGAGCATAAGCTTTCGTGGACTACAGCCCACTTCTTCTAATAAATTTGTTAGTCTCTAAGGTGCCACAAGTCCTCCTGTTCTTCTTTTTGCAAATATTCTATGGTTAACCAATAAGTATTAGTCTTACTGTTAATATATTGCAGTTAACCTTTAAAACAGATTGGTAAAATAATTTCATGACATTTCACATCCCTACTTCTGCTGTCATTCCTTCAAGTTGGCTGCGCTCCCTGCCCCCACATCCAAGCACACTGTGTGCATTAACAAATCCACCTCTTCCCTATCTGCATCCCACTCCCCAGCAGCACCCAGAGCAGGACAAACCAAACCGCCCTCTCATGGTGATGGTTCGGGAGCCCGGAACAGCTGGGTACCTCGCTCCCCGCTAGGAGCCAGTACAAGGACCCCAGCCGGGCACATCCCCTCCCCCGCAGACACAGGCCCCCTGCCTGAGGAGCAGCTACTGCCCCCCGCTGCCCCAACCCCCCTGTGAGACTCTGCCAAGCCCCTGGACACCATCCAGACTCCTCCCATATGGGCAGCTGCTCAGGACCCAGGCGTCTGCTGGCTGCTGCCACCAGATGTGATGGTGCTGGGCACTCGCCACCTCCTGGCCCAGGCTGTGGCCAGGGAGCTGGGCAGCAAGGGGCATGCGACCAGGACTATCCAAAGTCCCACGACGCACTGAGGGAGACTGGGTTATCTGATGGTGGAGACTGATGTCACCATGACACCTCCTGGTCACGACAGGTTCTCCCTGCCACCATAACATTCCTGGATCACAGGATAGTCTCTCCCTTTCCCCACCCCCCCGTCACCAGGACAGTGCGCAGGAGGGGGTGGTGACAGGGTACCAACTAGGGATGTAAAATGTTAAATCAGAGGTTCCCAAACTTATTTGGCCTACCGCCCCCTTTTCAGA